TCCTTTAGGATCGATTTCATCACGATTCTTCTGTTAAGATGGAGAGTAACTATACCTTCCTATTGCTCAAAGTAGAGTTCAAGAGTGATATAAAAAACATCTTAGAATTTCCGTAAGATATCTTTAATCATTTCTTAGATACAATGGTTCAAACCTTAATATAACAGATGAAAAGATTTGCTTCCATACTATTTAGATAATTTTGCTGTGACAACCGGTACATATGCATGTGTGTGTACTTATGTATCCGTATGTGTACTGGTAGTTGTGTATTAATATGCGTGAAGACAAATAAATATATATATATATATATATATATATATATATATATATATATATATATATATATATATATATATAAAATAAAAAAGAAGAGAAGAGAGGTGCCGCAAACTTTTGGGTTGTAATGTGGATTTATTTAGAAAAAAATATTATGCTTTGTTTTACATAATTTTACGACATGTGTTTCTGGTCTCGCGACCGTCTTCAGGTAAAAGCGGAGATTTCCACATATTATTAAAAATAATTAATTTTTTCCTTATGTTCAAGGTTAAATATTCTCGATATGAGACATTCTCTGTTTGTGTGTTGGTAATCCGAATTTCTTTCTTGAATTCTTGATTCAAGAAAGAAATTCGGATTAACAACATGTCGTAAAATTATGTAAAACAAAGCATAATATTTTTTTCTAAATAAATCCACATTACAACCAAAAACGTTTGCGGCACCTCTCTTCTCTTCTTTTTAATATAAATACTTTTCTCTCGTTGGAACCACAACAACATATTTCTTTTATATATATATATATATATATATATATATATATATATATATATATATATATATATATATATATATTATGGATGAATGGGTGTGTAATGGAAAGTGAAGTTCTATTTCCAGTCCAGATCGTTACATACACTTGGAAAAGTAATGAATCCATATATTCGCCTCTCTCTAACAATGCGTTAATTAGTAGGGTAGACTGGGCAATTTAGCTTTGATTGACAACCAATCTAGGAAAAGGACGTCTCTAAATTAAAAACCAGAGAGGGGTCGTTTGGAAAACTTGTGGCATATTATGTGCACCCGTTCTCCGTATTCAGTTCTTCATGTGTGGTTGGTTCTTTACAAGCCTTCACCATTATAATCAAATCAAATGCGTCTTCGGTTTATGGATCCTCATAAACCGAAGACGACGAGAGAATCCATTTCATATATATATATATATATATATATATATATATATATATATACTGACAAGAAGGAATGCTTTGTATGTCCGAGCACTTTCGGCTATACTAAAAAAATTATAAGAACACAAATAAAAATTAAATAAAAAACCTAACTGCAATTCCTTGCCGGTCGTTTTAACGAAATTGTATAAATGATGCATGCCCAAATACAGAATTATATATATATATATATATATATATATATATATATATATATATATATATACATTACAAAAAAAACAAAAATTATATATATATATATATTAGAGCAAAAGACAAAATTATAAACATATATATATATATATATATATATATATATATATATATATATATATATATATATATATTATATATTAGTTGTGTATTTGGGCAACAGACCCTCTCTAATAAAAGTTTCATTAAAAATGATTGACATTGACAGTATTAGGACAGTCGATTATATTGCTGGCTGAAATTATTGGCAGTGTTTGATATTTTTTATTTTATTTGAAATAATTCCAAAGCTATTTGAGACGTAAAGGCTTTCTGAAAAACAAAGATTGGTATGAACATAATTGTAAAAACGAATAATACTCATATATATACAAAAATTAATGCCACAAGAAAATTAGTAATCAAATGATTTTCTTTTTTGATCTTTGGTTTCATTTCATCTTTTGGCAATAACCTTCTACTTCATCAGTACCAACATCTGCAGGGCCATTTTTATAACACTTCTTGTATAGGATCTTCATGTTCTTAGAAATTAAATTATTTGGTTTTCTTGCTTTTATGTGTTGTTTCAATTCATCCCATAAGTTTTTGAATAAACAACGTAATATTTTGAAATGTTATTCAGAAAATAGCATTGGATTTATTTAGAAAAATTTTTTTTTTTTTGGGGTCCTTCTTTCGTTCAAATTTTTTACCGACGTTAAATTTTTATAATCGGGTACAGTTCCTACAATCCAAAATATTCCCACGTAAGGATAAAATGCAAAAAAATAATATTTAATACGCTCTATCTCCGATATAGAGCACTTTAACCAATGTTCATATAATAAAAGCTAAAGATAAATATATATATATATATATATATATATATATATATATATATATATATTATTTTATATGCGCAGTACTTAGTGGAAAGCGCAATATCAGATAAAAGTACATAAAAACATGATGATGTTTTGTCACGATCGCAAAAGCGTGAAATCCAGGATCACAAACTATATTTAATTGAATATATATATATATATATATATATTATATAAACTTGAATGATAAAAAATTTTTATAATGTTCTTCTTTCCTGGAAATAAATTAAGTAGAAATTGTTCAGAAAAGATAAATTATAACCAATAAAAAGTATCTATCTAAACTCTATCCAATATATATATATATATATATATATATATATATATATATATATATATATATATATATATATATATATATATATATATATATATATATATATATATATATATATATATATAATGGTTTCATTTTTCAAAACACGGTCAAGACATTCTGTCCATGTTCATAGTTGATATTATTGAGTGTTGTTTTTTTGTTTTTTTATTAACAAAGCTTCCATTATTTTTAGCCTTTTTTTGCATGCATGTAGATGATGCTATTATATTTGTTTTGTAGGTCTCCATGAGTGTTTAAATATCATGTCTTGACCATGTTTTGAAAGATGAAAATGTTATATAAATACATACATGTAACAAACTATTTCTTATATATATATATATATATATATATATATATATATATATATATATATATATATATATATATATATATATATAGAGAGAGAGAGGGGGGGAGTTATCAGAATTGGAATACACTCAGCTATATCTGGGATGTTTTTTTTAAAAAAAACAGAAAGTGTAACACCGAAATCCGAAGATGCATTGGCGTAGCGAAAGATGTCTTCCAAAATCTAACCAAAGTATTAAGTAAAAGGAAAATTTCTTCAGAATCAAAGAAATGAGTATTGCGATATCAGTTCTCCTATATGGAAATAAATGCTGGACAGATAAAGAAGAGACTTTGGCACCATAAATTTGCTTCTACAGAAGGATACTTAGAATACCTACGACCGAACATGCGAAGTTTTAGAGAAAATGGAAAACAAAAAAAGACACTTATATTTAACTAGCTGCATGGCCCGGCGTTGCCCGTGCTTGATTCAAAAATCGTACGACTCATACAGCAATCGCTATCATTTAACTTAAAATATTTTTGCCCTTCCTTGCCTTTAAAGGAGTGCCCTTTGTCGTGCTGATGTTGCTACATGCCTTACTCCTTGCCTATCTCACACTGCGAATATTTTCTAAGCTCTATATTAAACATTAAATCTGTTACGAAAAAAGAACTAAACAAAATGAACACAAAACGATCAGCTTTAAAAAAAGACTCGTAACTGGAAAAACCGAATGAAAAAAGATTGTTAACAACAAATACTTTTTCACACCCAACCCAGTTCTGCAGAATCAGAATCAACGTTGAGTTTAAGCAAGCGAATGAGCCAATTGGAGTAAAGTGCCATGCAGATTTAAATTTTTCCCACGTGTGACGAATGCAGCTATCAATTTTTTTTTTTTTTTGCATGCTAGCATGCTAGTTAACATTCGTGTCAGTCAGCTGTTGACTCTCACGCTGGCCAATAGAATCTTTCTGCCTATTCGTGGCAGCCAGCTATAGTCTCTCACTCTGGCCAGTAGAAAATGGCCGCAAACTACATGAAAACTGCCGTAGAAGCATGGAAAACTCGATTATTTCCACTATCGATGGGAGTTGGGAAATGCAAAGTCGGTCTTGGCTTTCCCGCTAACTTGGAGCATGTGCATGTAAATTTTGGTGCAAATCCGTCGAAAATTGCGGCCGTGCATTCGTTACACACACACACACACATCCTGCCTTTTATAGATATAGATATCTGAAACAGTTGAAATATCTAGGGCAGATAATAAGGAAAGAGAGTTTAGAAAATTTGATACTCACATATTGAAAGCAAGAGAGACAAGGCAAAACAACGCTTAACCTACCTAACGAACGTGTGCCAATGAATGGCACAACAGTGTCTAGGATAGATAACATTTAAAAGACAAGATAAAATTTGCTAAACACTACAAAGGACAGGAAATTGCTATGATTGCTCACGTCCTGAAGGGACACGGCACATTTGTTTTTGTTGCACAGATTTCCAAGGAGATATCTGTATGAGCTATATAGTGCAGCCTTAATGGCCGTAAAGATTAAAAATGACCCGAGCATTTATAAAAAGTATATTAGAACTAATGAGAATTGATGATTCTACTTTTAGTTACAATTTCAAACATAATTTTGCTTCTTCTAGTTTATTGATACGTGTAGATCTTTGTCTCTAGGACAAGACGCTAACATCTCGGCTCTCTCCACAGACTCACACATTCGGCATTTTCTGCATTTTTTTTCTTTTTACTTTTCCTTTATTTCATTTTTATCAAGTGAAAATTAGTGAAACATTTTTTTTTTTTTGTTTCTCTTCGCTCAGTTTTACATTTCTAATTTGATTAACGCATTTGGGGAATTAAATCCACAAAGCATTAAATTAAATTTGTTAAAAAAAAATCAAAACGAATATACCTTAGGGTTTCTCTTTTCATTTCATTTCATTTTATTTTTTTTTTTCTCACATAAGCACTTTATATTTACTTCCTTTTTACATTTTAAATATTTTCTCCTAAATTAAATTTGAATCTCCGGAAGAAAATACTCAACCACCATAACCACAAGGCAATCAAGTTAACTAAATAGCTAAGGAAAGACCATGATCGATTGATAGAGGGAGAGGAACAGAGAGCGATAAAGAAATTCAGATAGATAGATAGATAGATAGATAGATAGATAGATAGATAGATCATCATTAAGCGATGCTTAAATTGCTTATCTCGCAAGATATATATGTATCCTAGCAAATTATTAAATTATATCAAGTATTAGTCGAACTGTTACCATCAACAGAATTATATTTAAAAAAAAAAAAGAAGAAAATATTAAATATGATGCAAGGTATTTTCTCACTCCTTTGAAATACAACTCTTGTGAATTTTCACTGAAATAATTCTTGGTATCAATGGAAATTTAAATGTCTATGACACTTGCTAGCGCTTTTATTGGACAACTACATTAGTCAGAATACGACACACATATCGCGTCTTACTTCAAGTCAATAAAGAGGAATGAAAGTGATTAAATCCATTTCGATAGTGCATAAATATGCGTGGGAGGGCAGAGAATAAATGCTACAAGAACTAACGATTAGATTGGTCTCATTGCTCTGTTAATTCCAAAGACAATAATCGAAACCAATACATCTCACAGACTCAAATATTAATCAATATTCCTAATCACAACATTCAAGGTGTCAAATAATCGTTATACAGCTTGTTGCACTGATAAAATGATCAGCCACACACCCACACCCACACCCACACCCACACACACACATATATATATATATATAATGAAGAAATATAGTATTAAGATGTGCTATATTTATGGGATAAAGTGCTCAATATCAGAGATAGATCGTGTGTAAATATAAAAGTGAACATAGAAGTCAACACTTAGAGGCGACAGCATGAAACAGACTGTATATATATATAACATGATAACTGACATCCATTAAACATGGCACATGGAACTAGAACAATCTACCCCAGTGAGCAAAATAAAGGGTTAAGTTCGACATTCCAATCACCTGAAGAAGGCCGGAGTGTACAATGGCCGAAACGTTGTAATAAATATGGCGACAAAGATGAGGACAATAGTCCGAATAATGTAAATAGTGTACATGATACCTCATCTCAGAAATATAGACAGATACTGATGAATTCCCAGTTAATAATTTTCAGATGATGTTTCTTTCATTTTATGCTTACAATGAAATCCCACTGAAAACACTGCTTCTTGTTCGATCGCCGTAGTCGCTCCTGGTCAGTACTTAGTTGAAGGACCGTTTGGAAACACCAGGTTTCTCTAAGCAACCTCCTGCAATCCGAAATGTTTTTACGGCTTTACATAACACACAAAGGGTTGATAAACCGTAAAAACACAAATCAATATTTCATCTTTATGTTGTTACTTATTCGTTGGAGAGTTAAACTAGTCTTCACACCATGCTACCTTCACAGAGTCGAATCATCCTCATTTCCTCCGTATTCCAAATGTAAGGAGAAAGTTCCATTTAGCTTTTCCAAAAAGAACTGCTACTTTGCGGAATAGACTCCGATCTAGATGCTTCCTTGAAAACTAGTCTTTACCCCTTCAAGTCAAGAGTCAACCGTCATCTGTCATCCTTATCCTCATAATCTTCATTTCCTACCACTTCTCCTTTCATTCATGTTACGTACCTCATTGATCATAACCATTTTAACACTCTACCTTGAGAGGCTTTCGAGCATTGTATTTGGCGAAGTTTAGTATATTAAAGGAGAATTATTCTTAATTATATCATAGTGAGTATGTAACCTGATACTGCGTGCAGTATGCTTGGGGCATCGGTGACTAAATCGGTTTCACCCATCAAGCTTTTCTAGTGAGTAGGGTGGCGAGGTACCCAGCCGGGTAAAAACAAGACCTGTCAGAGCAAAGTAACTTTTTTCTAAGGTCAACCGCTATCTATGAGTTAGACTGGGAGCCCTAGCTATGTGTGCAGCCAGTGTGGATTTTAAACAGAATGGCTGGGTGGAGCACTCCCTAGACTGAAACCAGGGGCAGGGGTGGAGGGTTCCTCCGATGGAATCAACGGCCACGTGTCCGTGACTAAGGCGTTGGACATCAGCAGTGGATCGTTGGAGGACATCGGCAGCTGGAGAAGGATGACTATAGAATCGTCCGGCTTTTAACCAAGATCTCTAGAAAGGAACTCGTCAGATGATCAGCGGCTCAGCGACCGTGTCATAGGACTGATGAGGATGATGACGACGATGATGATGATGATGATAACGCTGATGATGGTGATCACGATCATGATTATGACGATGACAATGACGATCATGATCATGATCAGACGTTGACGTTGATGATGATGACGATGACGATCATGACCATGATGATCATGATGATGACAATGATGATCATGGTCACGGTCAGACGTTGACGTTGAAGATGATGATGACGATGATGATCATGATTATCATGATGATGATCATGACGATGATGATCATGATTATGATGATTATCACGATGATGATCATGATGATGATGGCGATGATCATGATCATGATGATCATGATGATGACAATGATGATCATGATCAGACGTTGACGTTGATGATGATGATGACGATGATGATCATGATCATGATTATCATGATTATCACGATGATGATCATGACGATGATGATCATGATTATGATGATTACCACGATGATGATGATGATCATGATCATGATGATACATATTCTTAACAATTCTGAATATTTATTTTAAAATGAAGCATTGTTAGTCATTAATTTTGACAAGTATTTATTTCATTTTAGCTCCCTTTTTTGTGCCCCTCGTTCTCCGTTCGCATCCAGGCTTGTTCTCCTAGCATTACTACCAGCGTATAGAAAAGTAAAGTTCTTCCTGTGCAATTCTACTAAGAAATTCTCTTTTTTCGATTTCTTTTTTTCCAATCAAAATTGATTTTCAAAAATTTAAATACAATTTCCATTGTTTCTCTGTCTCCTTAGTTCTTGTTCTTTTATTGTCCTGTCTCCTTAATAATGTTTTATTCTCAATTTTTTTTTTTTTACATTCAGTAACACCCCTTGTATAGTAATTGGCTCTATCGTCTTGCTTAGGGGAAAAATGATTTTAAAAAAGAAAAAAAAATGTTGGCATACTATCAATACGACAAATAAAGAATGTAGCTGTCTGTTTTATTTCAGCAATGCCTACCGGTACAGAATACGTAGCCTAACTGTTAATAACATTCTGATGGAAAGCCAAACCGCCAAAGAGGCGAGTATAGATCTCGCAAATTGTAGTTTAAAAGCAGTAAAATCGACTTTGCTAACCGAACTATTCTCTGTGGCTCAATTGGTTAAAGCACGTCAGGCTATATGACACTTCCGTATAGGATACAGGTTCGATTCCTGTCGGAAGAGGAAAATTTCTCGGACATTCAGGCCAGTAAATGTTATTAATACTGTTTAATATAAACCGAGCATTTATTTAAAATATTTTTATCTATAAAAAGAATGTATTAACATAAAAATGGCTTAAAATAATTGTCCATTTCTCTCTCTCTCTCTATATATATATATAGCCGTAAATTTTTGATACCGAAATATGCAATACGGTTATTTGGCAATACCGAAATATAAAAATGTTTTATCGGTCTTCTCTCATCTGAGCAAAAGTCGAGGGAAAAAAAAAACTTGTCAGGTTAATATCCTTTAAGTCCACCTACTCCTCCTGCTTGTAAAGAGATGGCTTGTAGGACTTAATATACACTGATAAAGCTATTTTAATCGTAGTTATATTTCATTACAAATTTACGTGATATGTATTTTTCTTACACCCCTTTTTATATGAATGGCTTCTTTTTGGCCTAGAATTGTTCCTTTTTTTAAGGATTTTTTTTTCTTTTTTTGTTAGGAATTGCTTTTTACTATGTCTGTATTTTAATCATTATTCTGCTTCGATAAGAAGCAGACGATGATTATTCCTCACCTTTCTCAAAGACTACGATTAAACACGAAAACTTCAAATCAATGTGGTCGCTCTCCTTCTAACCACTGAGCCATCGCTAGGTGAAGACAATCAGTGTTATTAATTTTGTTCTGCACCATAGAATCAGCCCACAAGTATGAACGCGAGTCAAAATCCGGATTCAAAAGCTCAATTAATTAAAGCTGATCGATATTCAGAAATCAATTTCGGTATCTGAAACCATCTTAATCATTTCCACAGAATAATGGACATCCAGACTCTGTTTGTCCAGTTCCAACATTATTTCTTGTATTATTGAATCTCTTTTATCATTTTCCAAGTCACTCTTGACTTACGACAGCTCAAATTTTCCGCCATTTTACGTTGCTACGACATGGGTATCGTAAGCTTTAAACTAGTAAGACTGATCGTCAGTTGGAATCGGTCAAATTTACTTTGATTTTAGTGCGTCTTTCGTTTATAAGCTTAGTTGTTTATACGGGATTTTTTATGACGTTTTGCTTCAAGACGAAATTGATCATGGTTCTCCCCAGTTTTCTTTTTCTTTATCTGTTAATTGTGATGCATTAGGAAAGATAGTTTAGTAGTTTCCCGTTGCCTTATCCGCGTCTTTGAATTCAGAGGAGTCCTTTTTCTAAACTGGCTACCGTCTACAGATGCCAGTCCTCTCTAGTATTCAACTCGTTGTTGAAAGTGGGGGAAAGTGATTGACTCATGTCTTTCCCAAGTGAATTAGTGTCAAAATCGAATGAAACATACAAAATCGGAATTGAACTTGGTTCGTCGATTGCCACTTACCGAGAATATAACCGTTTCGCTAAACGTATATAATTTGCACAAGTCCTTCATATTAAAAATATCAACTGCCTTCTATGCATTCTACAAAGATATTTGTAATCTGAGAGGCATGTGAATGCGTTAAAAGCTTACAGAGAAGATATTATTGGATATGATTTTCGTGTGGCACTAAGTACTAATGTATAACTGAATTTTATTAGAAGCACTACAGCATGAAAATACAGTACAGCAAAGACCAATTCTTCTGAGTTGCAATCGGGCATTTTACTAATGGCTGCCTATAGATTATTGGCATGTCATCGATCGCTTAGTGCGGAGCAATTTTTGACGATATTTAACTGCACCTGTTCACAGAGAAACTTTTTTTTCTTTATGTTTAATCAATTCACCCCAAGCAAGGT